GACCCCCTTTAAAAAAAAAAAAAAAAAAAAAAAAACCTGGCACAGTAGCTCACGCCTGGTAATCCTAGCATTTTGGCAGGTGGAGGCGAGAGGAATTCCTGAGCCCAGGGGTTCGAAACCAGCCTGGACAACTTGGTGAGACCTCTACAATAAATCAAAAAATTAGCCAGGTGTGGTGGTACGCACCTGTGATTCCAGCTACTTGGAAGGCTGAAGCGAAGGGATCACCTAAACTCAGCAGGTCGAGGCTGCAGTGGCTGTGAGCGTACCACTGCACTCCAATGAGACTGACTCAAAAAAAGAAAAACCTAAAATTAACTAGCTGGGCATGTGGTGAGTGCCTATAATCCCAGTTACTCAAGAGGCTGAGGTGGGAGGATCGCTTGAGCCTAGGAGTTCCAGGCTGCAGTGGAACTATGATTGCACTACTGCGCTCCAGCCTGGGAGACAGGGTAAGGCCCTGTCTCAATCAATCAACCAGTCAATGCAACACCACCCAGGTCTAAATACTATATACAAAGTAGACCATTCCTGTCTTTTCTTTTTTTTTCTGAGTAGTAATCTCACTGCCACTGCTGCCTCCACCTGCTGGGCTCAGGCGATCCTTCTGCCTCCACCTTCCACCATTCTGGTCTTAATGTATGATATGTCTCACTGTAACTGCAGATAGATGCACACTTCCTGACCTGCCTCTGAACTGATACACATACAGGTGAGCTTTCTGAAAGCATGAGAAAACTCTTCATTGCCTTTAACAAATCTAAAGGAAAAACAAGAGCAGCCTTTGCAGGGGAAGGGGTGGGGGGTGTGTTCCAACAATGGCAGGTCTTTGCTAACCACGCTGTCGGGGGACTGGACAATGACTTCTTCAGAGGCAGCCTAGGGAGAGCAATGAAGAGAACCGGTAGCCACTCTTCCACTTCTACGTTTACACTTCTCTATCACATAAGGAACCTGGATCACTGGACCACACTGTCTTCTCACGTGCTACCTGAAATCAGACTCAGAGCCTGCTGTTTTCCATCACCTCAGTTTGCCTTCAGTTTACTTGCTCCTAAGCTGAGGATGCTGAAAGCTGGAGAGGAGGCAGGCACTAATGATGGTGCCCAGGTTTCCCAAGAGTCAGCTACCTAACAGCATGTGCTGATAAAGAACCAGTGCCCGTGAGCCTCTAAAACGTGGAAACAGCCACAGAGTTCCTCGGCCCTGTTGTTTGCACTTCTTCCACCTGGCACTGGATGTTACCTGCCGGTGATCACGTCGCCGCAGGAGCGCATGATGACGATCCCGGACCCGGTGGCCAGCACAGCCTGCACCGAAGACACCACCCTGACGCGGGGCAGAGGAGGAAACAGAAGGCGCGCTCAGTCCGGTCCCTGCACTGCACGAAGCCAAGCCCTCCAACCAGCCTTTCCCCAGGCCGCCGGGGTGGCGAGGGAAATGGTGGGGCCGCGCGCTGCCGACCCCAAGCAGCTGGCAGACGGGGCCGCAGCCCCGGGAATGACGGACGCCGCCTCCCATCGCGACGCGCGGGCAGCTCGCCACCCGCGTCCCCTGTCCCTCCGGGGGGACGCGGGAGGTATTGGGGAAGCTCTGGGAAGCGCCGCCGAGAGGGGC